TCTCTATCTCTCCCTCTCTCTCTATCTCTCTGTCTCTATCTCTATCTCTGCCTATCTACCAATCTATCAATTCATCTAAATAAGGAACCCCAATGGCCTTTGGAATAACTATTCTTGGACACTGTATTACTTATTTTTCTATTGCTATGAGAAAATACCATGAGCAGGGAAAAGAAAGCATTTAATTGAGCTTTCAGTTTTAGGAGGTTGAATCTCACCACGACAGTGCAATGTCATGGCATCGGGAAGAGATGCAAGCTCATGTCTCAATCTACACACAGAAGGCAGACAGAGTATACTGGTAATACCCTGAGTCTTTTGAAACTTCAAGGCTGGCTCCCAGTGATGCACCCCTTCTAACAAAGCAACATCTCTTAATCCTTTCCAGATAGTCGATGTAGCAGAATATTCTCCCCGCTACACTTTACAATAAAACTCTGTAATCTGGGAGGAGCAAATGTGGGAGGAGAGGAAAGGAAGAGGAGGAGCTAAGGGAAGAGGCAGGATGTAGGAGCCATGGAGAACCATAGGTCCAGTACCGTCCTGGGTAACAATTTATATCTAGGTTAGTTAATTGGGTAACACCTCTAATTTTGTGGGCATCTTGTTAATTGAGCATTACCAAACATATAACGCCTTTAGATAATCTTTAAGCATTAGAGTCTCATTTCTACTGGTACTGCATGGATGGCAGGATGATCTGGGGTCAGCTGAGTCTTGTGGAGACAGCATGATAGCTGGACATAGCCATCTCCCATGCTGCATCTTGTGGGTGGCAGGGCCGGTGCTTTTGGGCTGACATGAGCTGCGGTCAGAGTTGAGCAGCGGTAGGAGCATGCTGCCGCTCACGGCCTCGGGCCTTGCCTAGTCGGGAAGATGACGGCCTCGTAAAAACAAGACAGATTGAGTGCACCATTTAAATATCAACTTTAACAGTTCTATCCCTGGGGACCAAGTGTACAGACTTGTGAGCCTATGGGTCCATTCTTCAAACCACCACAGACAACTATGAGAAATCTTTAAAGAGATTTCTGTTTCTTTTTCAATACATGTCAATTCAGTTGCAGTTAGAAACTGTGAGAGGACCCTCACCAGGTCTACTTTACTGCTTTTTTTTTCAGCAAGCAGATCCAATTCTATCCATTTTAGCAGATGGCAGTGCATCTTATTTCAAAAGCCATGCAAAGAGCCTGCCTGCCAATTTCACCTTTCAGGGATCATCCTTCCATTCTTAAAGGCAGTGAAACAATTCTCCTTCAATAGCAATGGAGGGAGGGTTGTTTGCTGACAATGCTCAAGAGCCATCGTTTCAGAGAGAAGTGAAGTCATATATCACGTTTCTTCTCTTCCACTGTGTCCCCTGAACATCTCACTCAACACCTGTAAACCTGTAGGTTGAGACGTTTGTTCTATTAAATCAAATCATTTTTTGTAAAGAGCTAAAGAAGCCTGGCTCCCACTCAAGCTCAGTAGAAGGCCCTGGGTGAGTGCAAGCATCTACATGTTCCTTAGAGCAAACAAATTTATACTTGGGACAGTTTTGGGGGGAACTCAGAGTAAAAACAATACTAGTAAGAGGTCCATGAGATGGTTGGTAGCTGTTAGCATGTACAACGATCCCTGCCTAGTGGTGGTCAGACTTTCTCACCTTTCTTTCAAAAGAAAAGAGGATACTCTTTTCTTTTGGTTTCCAGAACACCCGACCTTAATTATTTTTAAGGATTTATTTAATTATTTATTTTATGCATAGAAGTATACTATAGCTGGTGTGCAGACACACCAGAAGAAAGCATCGGATCCCGGTTGTGAGCTACCATGTAGTTGGTGGTTGCTGGGAACTGAATTTAGGACCTCCCGTGCTTTTAACTGGTGAGCCATCTCTCCAGTCCCCCATCTTAATTTTTAATTTGGCAAAGACTATAAGTGATGTGGTGATGTGGAGTAAACACAGAGCTATGTGGTATGTGATTACAAAGAAAATAAATTAGTTTTGCGGGCAGATGTCCTTTCTTGGTTGTTTTCTCTATTTACATAGAAATGACCTCGTGTCCTTTCCTACTTTTCCCCTAACGAGGACGACAACGAGGACCTCAAGTGCCAGCTACAGTTCGTCAAGGAGGAAGCCGCGCTGATGAGAAAGAAAATGGCCAAGATTGATAAAGAAAAGGACAGATTTGAGCACGAACTGCAGAAGTACAGATCCTTCTACGGGGATCTAGACAGTCCTCTGCCCAAAGGAGAAGCAGGGGGACCTCCCAGCACCAGGGAGGCTGAGCTCAAGCTGAGGCTGCGGCTGGTGGAAGAAGAGGCCAACATCCTGGGCAGGAAAATTGTGGAGCTGGAGGTAGAGAACCGAGGCCTGAAGGCGGAACTGGACGACCTGCGGGGGGACGACTTCAATGGCTCTTCCAACCCTCTCATGAGGGAGCAGAGCGAGTCCTTGTCGGAGTTGCGACAGCATCTGCAGCTGGTGGAAGATGAGACCGAGCTGCTGCGGAGGAACGTGGCTGATCTCGAGGAGCAGAACAAACGCATCACTGCAGAGCTCAACAAGTACAAGTACAAGTCCAGCGGCCACGACAGTTCGCGGCACCACGACAATGCCAAGACTGAGGCTCTGCAGGAGGAGCTGAAGGCGGCTCGCCTGCAGATCAACGAGCTGAGCGGCAAGGTCATGCAGCTGCAGTATGAGAACCGTGTTCTCATGTCCAACATGCAGCGCTACGACCTGGCCTCACACCTGGGTATCCGTGGCAGCCCTCGTGACAGCGACGCTGAAAGCGACACTGGCAAGAAGGAGAGTGATGATGACTCCAGGCCTCCCCATCGCAAGCGTGAAGGGCCAATCGGTGGCGAGAGCGACTCAGAGGAGGTGCGGAACATCCGCTCCCTCACTCCCACCCGCTCCTTCTATCCCACGCCCGGGCCCTGGCCCAAGAGCTTCTCAGATCGACAGCAAATGAAGGACATCCGCTCCGAGGCCGAGCGCCTGGGCAAGACCATCGATCGGCTCATCGCAGATACGAGCACCATCATCACCGAGGCGCGCATCTACGTGGCCAACGGGGACCTGTTTGGACTGATGGATGAGGAGGACGACGGCAGCCGCATCCGGGAGCATGAGCTGCTCTACCGCATCAACGCGCAGATGAAGGCCTTCCGCAAGGAGCTGCAGACCTTCATCGACCGCCTGGAGGTGCCCAAGTCTGCCGATGACCGCGGAGCCGAGGAACCCATATCCGTGAGTCAGGTACAGTTCTGCCTTTTGCGAGCCATGGCGATGGCGAGGCTGGCCCGCGGAGCTGCGGTCCCTCGTGGGGCATCTCCAACCCCAACTTCCACATCCCACTTTAGGGAAGTTCCATCTCAAGGCCTTGTTGGGCTCAAGGCACCTGTATTTTCACACCATGTTCCACCAGGCAGAGGTTCTCGAAACCCAACTGATCATTAACACTCCTTTTTACTCTGTTTGTAGGAGAAATTTAACACGGACGCAATCAGATTTTTGCATAATGATTCATGCATTTTTAATGCACATTATCATTTTAAAAGGTCAACATTTTCAGCATTTCCCTAACAGGTTGGCCAGCATAAAGGTCCTGAATAGGACCCTTCAAGTTTTGTGAGATTTATGAATAGGTCTGAATTGAGTTTAAGATCATAAAAATTACGAAATAAGCCAGGGTAGTGGTGCACACTTTTAATCCTGGCACTTGAGAGACGTAAAAGCAGGTGGGTCTCTGTGATTACAGATCCTTAGGGCTACATAGTGAAACCTTGTCTAAAAAAATTTTTTTTTATTAAACAAGATTGATTGATACTTCTGATAAATGAACAAGCTGGACGTAAAAAGATAACGTTCTTGTGTCCAGAGCCCTATGGATGAGTCACATACAAGCTACCCCTTTACCTAAGTTGAGGTAACACGGTGATTCTTTCTAATTAAAATACCTTCAATTCAATAATGGAGATCTGTTGTTGGGAGAAGTTTGTAGCATAGCTTTAAGGCCATACTAATTGAAAGAAATAATAATAAGTATTCCAGCACAGGGGAAAGCAGCATTTCCCTCCTGATTTGTAGAGACACAGCGGATGAATTGGACTCAGCAGCTTTGGCCAGGTATGGTGGCCACTGAAAGATCAATGCATTTGTCCAAGTTAACCACATAAAAGATACTTATGGACCAAAACAGGCAGTACTGTCTTCTTGCAGCAGCCTGATGCCCTGTATCCATCGGAGAGCCCACTGAAGTACAACAGCATGCATGGCTTTGTACACACTTGAGCCCGCCCCAACCCCGTATTTAAAACCCAGTTTCTGTGCAGCAGCATGGCATTAGAGGAATTGCCTGCTGACCACGGCTAGAGAACTCGCAGGCCTGTCGCTTACCTTGCACGTTGCTATGCTTTGCTGGGGTTGGGGCAGGGAATTATGATGGAAGCCATTGGGTTTCACAACGTTAAATTTTATTCTTTTCTATTTAGTATGTTTTGGTGCTGGTTTTTGGTTTTCAGTTTGCAGGTTTTTGAATAGCAAGCATGTGTTTTTAGCTATACTCTTGGGTGTGTGTATGTATGTCAGAGTGAGAGAAAGTGCTATTTATAACAAAGTACTTGAAGAATTTGCAAGTGTAGGCTGGGGGTGCCTTTACTTCAGGTTGAGTCAGAGTTTGGATGCGGCGTGAAGGTGTACAGTAATTGTTAACTGGCTCTTCTTTCTGTCTCCACATTTGCCTCCCCAGATGTTCCAGCCTATCATTCTGCTAATTCTCATCCTTGTCCTATTCTCATCCCTGTCTTACACAACAATATTTAAACTTGTCTTCCTCTTTACACTGTTTTTTGTACTGTAAATCTTCCATTATTTGCTGTTCATTGTAGTGTTTCAGTTGTTTTTATTTTGTCCACCCTTCAAGACAAGACATAAAAGAAGTATCATTTCTGTAGTAACTGATGCTGTAAAAAAAAAAAAAAAACACTGAAGACTGCACATCTCTGTAAAAAAGACACATCTCATCTTACACTGTCAAATTCACTAGGAAACCCCAGCAACCAAAGTGTTTCAGGTAAGGAAAAGTGAGTTATCAGAGTTTTGTGTATCTCATATTTTTCTGCCTCTTTCTTTTGTATCTTTCTTTGTTTTGTACTCTTGATTCATAGTTGACAGGTTGACTGTGAAAAATGGACTAAGTCTCATAATTATTCTGTAGGAATTGAGTATTATTTTACGCCTGGAAATTTTCACTTGGTTGCATTTTCAAAATTTATGCAGAGGCATTAAGAGGTATAAGTCAATGTAGATGTTTTATAAATTATTTCTGATATAAATTATGTAGATTTATAAGTATACCGTTCTCATGTTAGACCAAAAGAAAAACATCACTGTCTAATAAATATCTGTTGAAAATATGATATGATGAAATGTAGCTCTCTTGGAAAGTAAACAATGTTCTGACCCTGACATGGTCTGTCTCCAGAGGTATATTTGGAAGCATGCGTCTAAATGATCTTTTAGTTTAATAAGAAACTAAGCAGTCCCCTCCTATTGAATTTTTCCCACTTTCCACTAAGCCAGCTATCTCCATTTATGTATTATATATGAAGCCATGTATCCCTGACTGACTATGTTGCTTGGAGTGCCTTCTTTTCTATGATAAACTACCACACAGAACTCCCTTCTCTGCAGAAAACATGCTAGAAACAGCATGAGAAATAGCTTGAGAGGAGAAATAAATACACTGTGCAGAATTTCCTTGAGTTAAAATCTATACCCAAAGTGTCATTCCAATGGGAGCTACTCTGAGGCCTAAACTGACTTTTGTGACCCCTAGCAACCCTGTCTTCTTATATGTATCTAAAGTCAACTGGGTAAACGCTATGGACTCAAGGTTCTATTCTGCCCATCTTGTTGATAGCTTACCCACTGGAATCCCAGAGTACATGGGAATTCCAGCCCGGGACCTAGATGTAATGATACCTGCATTTATCTCAATACTGGGGAAGGTAAGACAAGAGGATTGTGAATCTGAGGTCAGCCTAAGCTATCTAACCAGACCTCAAAAAAAAAAAAAAAGAATAAGAAAAATCATATTCTTCTCAGTTCATGCATTAGTCAGTAGATATGAAAACCTATGATAAAATAAAGTATCTTGACAACAGGAAACAGATCCTGTGGGAAACTTTGCCAACTAAAAAATATGCAGGTAGGCCTTTGGAATTCCAGGAATTTAATCTGCAGGAAAGTGTTTTACCTCATCCTCTTACAGCCCCATTTTTTTTTTAATATTAACTTTAGGAAAAATTTTTCAGGAAGCTGGTTCAGTAGGTAACAGAACTTGCTAAGCAGGCATGAGGACTGGAGTTTAAATCCCCAGAATCCACGCACAGAGCTGTGGATGGCTGTACATTTTGGGTGGGCATGCTGCAACAAGGCCAGAAGAAGGAATGAAATAGAGAAGGACATTCAACATCTTCCTCTGGCCTACACAAGTGCTTGTACTTGAGTACACATATGCATGCAGTACACACACATACCACATACTATATACATACACACAAACATACTATATACATATACACTGCCTACTACACACACACAGCACATCCTACATACATACACACATACTTCATACATATGCACTACCTACTACACATACACTACATACACATACCATATATTACACACACACATACAAATATAACATATACTATGGGAGCACACACACACACATAAACTTACCACATGCTACATGTTACACACATACTACACATATCAACACACACACCACACATGTGCACTATACATACATATGCACCACATCCCCATCTGATCTTCATAACACATGTAGTATCTGCATATGTGCACATACACACCAGTACAACATCCTTCTCTGTCCTTCACTAGTGCATGTACCAACATGCTCACATACATATAGTACCTGTATATACACATACACACGTGTATACCACATAACACCACAACACATTACACATACAAATCACAACACATATACACACAACACACACACTACACATTCATACATACAATATCCCCTTCTGACCTTCATAAGTGCATGTACCTGCACACTTGCATGCATGCAGTACACACACATACACACATACACACAATTTAAATTTAGAAAATTTCACAGTAGTTGAAAACTTCAGTTTAACTGCTCTTAAAGCTCATTATCTTTTCTTTGGTTGGTATTATTTTTTACTTTGTTTATTTAATTGTAATTATTTCTGTGGATTTGGGGGGAGGAAAGTATTGTCTGGTGAATAGTTAGCAGCACTTAGGAACCAATCAATCAATAGATTTTGTTTGATTGGATGTTTTCCCTTTGGTTTTTCAGTGTTAGTAATGGAACCCAGGGTCTTGTATACGCCAGGCAAATGCTCTACCTTAGAACTATATGTCCAGCCACACCTGGCTTTTAATCTTGAAATTGAAAGGGCTAAGGATTATGTTGGCTTTCAGGAGAAAAGAAGAAAGAAGGGAGAAAAATTCTGTACATGATCAAATTGGTGTCACAAGCCTACGGGTTAAAACGGTTGGGAGTCTGAAGCAAGAAACCATGGCAAGTTTGAAGCTGGTTTGGGTTACAGTCTGAGACTGACTCAAAACCACCCAGTCATGTAACTACAACAACAACAACCACACACACACACACACATACATACACACACACATACACCTTAAAAAACCAAACCTGTCTGCTAGGTTTATGATACTTTCCCAAGTTACAAACTCAATGGAACTGAACATAAATGTTTAAGGGTTGAAACTGAAGATTGCCAGAATGTCTACAGTACTTCGAGTCAGAAATGCCCCAGCCCAGCAGTGGTCCTTAGCTACCTGTGGAGCTCCTGGGAATATATGGAAATGTTTCACGATGTACAATGACTGGGCAGTTCTCTACTGTGCTGTTGCCAATTTTAAAAGATGGGGCTGAAGAGAAGGCTTTAAGTACTCAGTGCTCTTGCAGAGAACCTGGGCTCCATTCTCATTGGCTTCTCACGACTGTCTATCTGTAACTCCAGCTCTGGGGGACCCAATGCCTGATTCCAGACTCTGCAAGCACTACAGGCATATGATGCATATACAGACCTGCAGGCAAACACGCATACACATAAATATACATAAACATAAAATTAAAATTTCGGGAAGAAAGAAAAACTTTCCCCACTAATTCAGTTTCTCAAAACTAACAAATTCTAAGAAAACAAAAGAAACACTTATGCAACGGGAAGAAAAACCAGGATGGAACAATTCGAGGAATGCATACTACAGATGTGTCGATGAATACAATAAATCAAACCCTCATGATGAGCCTGTACGATGTAACAACAAATTCATAGGCTTTCTTAAAGGTCCTGGAAATGTCTGTAGTGGTAATGAAAAGACCGTAGCAATGATTTTTGCTCTCTGGGCTAGCCAAATAGCACTGTCTTTAGATCTCATTTGGCAGCATGGATAGGAACTAATATGGCAGAATTTTAGTACAAGAATTTTATGCGACTCTTACATCGCAGCCATGCCTTCCATAGATGGAACTGTCTTAAGATACTGGAAAAGGGACATCAGGTTGTATAGGACTGGCCTGGTTCTGACTGTACTCTGGGGGATTTGGATTTCTTACTGCATCGTTGAACTTAAGGATGTAAATGTACTATCCCAGTAAATTCTGAGAAAGGCATTTCTAGCTCTGGTCTGTCAACTATTCAGCCAGGTTTCTACATGTGCTTCAGCATGTACACATGCACACACATGCACACACACGAACACGCATGCATGTGCACACAGCCAATCTGCTGTGATGTGAAATAAATTCATTAGAGTCAGGTGGTCAGAGGTCCCTGTGTCACAGAGAACATGACTGGTAAGCTAGTGAAAGGAAGGCGGTCTCAGTAAACTACCCGTGAAGTGACTTTCTCTAATATCCTTTTAAATTTAGGTTCGTCTGTAGGAACCTAGTACTTAGAGTTGGGAAGAAAAGTTAAGAAAGATGGTGTCTGAGACCTGTGAGAGTTCCCAGCAAGCCCTTCCCCCTAAGCACCTCCCCCTTCTCCCAGCCCTCACTCTTCCCTGCCTTGTCTCTGACCTCACTGCAGCATTATTTTTGTTACTTTGTTCAGTGTGCAGTTATTTCATTTTTGCTGGTTTTAAATGATCAACCTTACAAAGTTTCCCAGTTCTTGAGACAAGGAATCTTTTCACTTTCAAAGCTGAAATGGCATACTAAACATATTTCTTTAAAGCAAAAAATATTATAGATGATTTCCTTCTATGGCACTTTCTTGGGCATAGAAACAAGAGTTTTGGTTAATTTAGCCTAGGCTTAAGAAAAACAGGAATCTGCTTGGTTAGTTTTAAATAAAAATGACTGAAACTCATTAAGCAAAGAAATGTTTGGTCCAAGCCAGAATGTGCAGTTTGTGTGGTAGACTGGGATGTGGCTATTGGATTGTCTACCACTGAAGTTTGGAATGTGAGCCTAGCCACTCTATTCAGGGTCGTAGCTACATTCTCCTCGAGTCAGTCTCCCCCAGTAGAATTAGGCTCTAACTGATTGTAGGGAATAAACAGGAAGTGGTAGACAGTAGTATTAAAATCTGAGGAAAGGAATAATGGAAATTTGTACAATTCAAAAACATTATGCATAAAGACATATCTGTTAGAGCCCTCTTTACAAGAGAGAAAGGTACAGGAAGATAAGCAGTTTTGAATCTGTAATATCGTTTGAAGCAGGTGAGATGATTTTGTATACAGTTTGATGACAATGTGCCCCAGTATTCTCATGACACTTGAAAGATTTCAGAGAGAAACAAAGGAAGGATGCTTCATGTTTCCAATATGCTTCGATGAACACGGTAGCAACCACATGCTTCTGCATAGTGCTTTTGTATCAACAGTTAGGGTGAGGAGGAACGGGTGGCTCTTTCATGATGGCCATTCTGAAAGTTTGTGGAGCCATAGACTCAAATGGTTCCTGCTATGTAACCTAATACATTTCCATCAATACCTTCTCTGCTTGAACGTAGATAGATGATGATAGATGATAGA